AGCCCTGCAGGGCTCTGCCCCTGGTGGTTCTGCCCTCTCAGGTGGTGGTATGCGCTCATTTCTTCTTGGCTGGGCCTCTCTGTTGTGTTTTTTTCTACCCTACAACTTTCTGTTGATATTTTATTGTTTTCTTGCCTCTATTTTCTTTGGGTTAATTTGCTAATCTCTTCTAAACCCTTGAGATGAATTCTTCATTGCTTTTATTTTTATATTCTCTTCATATGTATACACTTAAAGTTGAACATTTCTCTCTAAGCATGGCTTTAGCTGCGCGAGATGTTTTAAAGGCAGCCGCTGTTGGCTCTCTGTGCTCTGTGGGGCAGCACAGCCCCACCTTCCCACTCGGGCTGGTTGCCTGCCATGTCACTCCACCGTGCTTCAGCAGCTTGGGCGCGTCCCCCTGTAGGAGGGGCCATGTCCTGTGTCCGCTCTGGTACCTTGCCACTGAGGGCAGGAGTCAGGGAGAACCTCCCTGACATGCTCAGTGATGGCCTGAAGTCACACTGTGAGCTCTGTAGAGCAGGGGCTACCCCAACCTCCCTGCTGTGGGACACATTAGAGGAAATAGAATGCCTTAGGGACAGCCCCCTATACAGAAGGTTGATGGAGTGTCTGCCTGCTAAGAACCTTGTTGGACAAGGAGATGCTCCCATGAGGGAGGGAGTGTGCTCTCTGGCTTCAGCAAGCTCTTGGGGGTGGGGATGTCTGTGCTTGGGGGTTGTGGGGGTGCAGGGCTGGGATCAGAATTCTAGCCTCTCCTTTCCAAGGGGACCAGGGTGTCCCCATTTTATTTTATGCACTTTCTGGACAACAAAGGAAAGACTGATTTCCTAGCTTGGTCGCCCTGGGATTTTATATTGAGAGGTGCTCACTGCCCAGCTGCTTGGGGTCAGTAGCTTGTGTCCTACAGAGCAGGATCACCATCCCTTGGCAGTGGCATGGCAGGTCGTTCCAGAAGTGGTGATGGGCAGTCACTGTCGGAGTGAACCTGGTGTGGTTGCACTCCTTTACCTCTGAAACATAGACAAGCATATTAAATACTCTCGGCACATTGAACAGAGAGCTTTTTATTCAGTCAGTGTAGTACCTGTGGACTGAATGTGGCTTCCTGTGGGTCCTTGCAGTGGGGAGCTCCCTTGGTGACACCTGCCTGAACCCTCTGTTGTTTTCCAGATTGTGACATCTGCGTCAACAGATCTTCAGGATTATACGTACTATTTTGTTCCGGCTCCCTGGCTGTCAGTAAAACTTCTAAGGTTGCTACAGTGCTATCCACCCCCAGGTATGGCCGCAGAACCAGGGCCGTAGGGCCAGGCCTTCTGCTTGTCACCTTCAGAAGCCCTTTTCTGGTGCCAGTCTTGCTCTTGGGATCCTCTGTGAGGCTGCCTTGCTTGCAGCTAGTAGAGGACCCAGTTCTGTTACAATTTGAGATTTATCTTTGTTTTACATATTATCAGATCTGTGCAAGTTATTGAAACAATCTTTTAAAATAAAACTTGAAACCATTAGAAACTTTGTATTATAAATTGTTAATAATCTATGTAGTCTTAATGTACACATTAAAGATAGTTTTATGTTCATGTTTCATTCTAAAATGTTACATTTGACTAGTATGGTAAGTATCTAGAAATAGAATTTCTTGGTTGAAGAAAATGCGTAAGAAGTTTTGCTAGGTGAGTCCAAGTTGCCCTCTCTGCAAAGAGGGCTTTGTCATTGTAACCTTTACATTTTAATCTAAATTTGTTTTTGTACAAAATATTTCTTTGTTGAATTCAAGTAACTTTCTGTTCTAAGTATCTTTTATACTGAAGTATGAACTCACACTTGCAGCAGAGCCCTCCTGTAGGAGGGGCTTCCCCAAGCTGGCCCAGCCTCCAGGTGCCCAGTTGTGACCCGGAACCTCTCTGCCCTCCCTACCCACCCCTCCCAGGGCCTCCCGTCCAGTCCTCCTCAGGGGAGTAGCACTCTCCCTGGAACTGGCCGCTGCCTCCTTCATCCCAAAAACTGGGCGTCAGACCCAGACTCTGCCCGCCGCCCGTGGGTATGAATCTCATCACCTGCGTCATCCCTGCAGAAGGCTCTGATTCTGGTTCTGCCTCAGCCACAGTTTGTGGAACCGCGGACCTCAGCCCAGCATCTGTGTTCAGGCCCATGGCGTGGGCGCCCTAGGCTCTCCTCTGTGTCCGGCCCACATGGGGCACATGGACGCTGTCATGCTTCTCTTGAACATCCTGGGTGTGTTGGTGGATTTGGGGGTCGTGTTGCATGGGTTGGTTCTGATGTTCTGATATTTTTATTGCTTTCAATTCTTTTCTGGTTCATTATTTCTTCTGGTTTGAGTAGAACTTTAAAATTTTCCTTCTCTTTTGGTTTTTTATAACGTTCTCTCTTTCTATTGGTAACAGCAGGTAGAGAAAAAAATCTTTAGCTCCTTTTTCCTCAGACTTTTATATTAGTATGTTTTATACACATCTCTTGAGATTTTCTTATTTTAAATAATCTGTATTTCAGCAAAAGTAGTACATGTATTACTTGCATTAAAACATTTGTGTAGTTGCCCCAGCTATTAAGCACCTGTGTGATTTAAGTAGGATGCGTGCCAGCGGTTCTCTCGCCTAGTCAGCCCAGACCCAGGACGTGCACTGCAGTGTTGAGGTGGTGCTGCTGGGGTGGGGTGGGCTGTGGGGGGCCCTGCCCAACGGCCTGCTGTCTTGCCCAGAAGACCCTGCAGTGCGAGGGCGCCTGACTGAGTGCCTGGAGACCATCCTGAACAAAGCACAGGAGCCACCAAAGTCAAAGAAAGTCCAGCACTCCAATGCCAAGAACGCCGTGCTCTTCGAGGCCATCAGTCTGATCATCCACCATGACAGGTGAGTGGGCCAGTGGATGGTCCCCAAAACCGTTTGAAGATGTGGTCCCTTAAACACACGCATGTGCTCTTCCTCCCTGATGTTGGGTCTACGGGTGACATTGAGTGTCCGTCCTCCCCCAAGCACTGGTGTGTTTTCTCTGCCCCCTGCTCAGACAGACACATGCACCTGGTGTTGCCCCTTTTCTTCTCTCTCCTCCAGCCCTCCACACTCTCTCTAGCCTCAGAACTGCCCCACTGTGTGCTGTGGTCTCATTCCCGAGAGGGCCTATTCCTCTTCTCCTGAGCACTCCACTCCTGACTGCTCCTCACACAACTGCACAGAAAGCCTGGGCATGCGCCTGTGTCTGTGTCTGTCCCTGGCGGCTCTACTGTGGCACAAAGCAGCAGGCAGTGTTGGTTTGAGGTCATCAGGGGGACATGGTGGAGGTGACCATATTGTCTGCCCAGCACAGGAGACGTGGGGCAGGTATCCTGGGATTGCTCCTGCCTGGGACACGTGTGTGGGCCTTGTGTACAGTGCCTTGTTTTAGGATTCCTGGGAGAGCCACAGTATGGCCCACAAGCAGGTCCCAGCGACCACAGGCTGTTGTGTCCCCCAAGGCAGTGCAGGGCCACAGAGGCTTAATTTCCTGTGGTTGGGAATTGCTGAAAACAGTTTTCAATAGTCAACAAGGTTCTGTCTGTATTAGACGTATTTAAAGAACAAGAGCATCACGAGGACCAAGTAAGGAGTAAGCAGAGATTTGGCCTGGACTTCGGGCAGTTGGTTCTCAAGAACTCACCTCCTTTAACTCTCATGTCATCTGCACATGCATCTCTTGAGAGTCCTGTCACATCTTGGCTTCTGTTCACCAAGGCTGGTTGCTTCTAGCTGAGGCCGTGTGTCTGGCTTCACTTGACAAAGGCCCTGAGTGTGAGCTCATTAGCTGGGGCAGGATTGGGGGGTGACCTGGTCTGTGAGGGACCCTCTGTGTTACCACCTTTGTGAAGGTGGTGCTGGCCTGCACGCACACTTGGAGACGTTGCTGCTGACTCTAATGTAGTAAAGACCAGTGTGCATGGGAGCCCCACTGCAGGTCTATATCAAAGGCTCTGCTTCCTGGAAGGCCCCAACATCTTCCCTCGGCAGCTTGGTGGCTGTAAACATGGGTGACAGGACCACTGCCATGCTGCCTTGCATGTGGGCCATCTGTGAGGTGTGTGCTGAGGTGCTCCACCCAACTCATTTCTCCCGTCCATGCAGTGAGCCCAACCTGCTCGTCCGTGCCTGTAACCAGCTGGGCCAGTTCCTGCAGCACCGGGAGACCAACCTGCGCTACCTGGCCCTGGAGAGCATGTGCACGCTGGCCAGCTCTGAGTTCTCCCACGAGGCTGTCAAGACGCACATCGACACTGTCATCAACGCTCTGAAGGCAAGCCCTCTGCCCCTTGGGAGTCTTGCGTCACTTCGGGGCTCCTGTCCCTTGGGTCACAGGAGGTTGGTGCAGCAGCCTGGTGAGAGCTTGTCAGAGTCCCGCTGTCACTCAAGGCTGCATGGCTTGGGCCCTGGAGTGAGTCTGGCCATGCTGTTGCTCTGAGTCCACGCCTCCCTGCTGTTGCTGCCTGTGAGATGACGTGACACGTAGCATCTGTGTCTTGCATGAGCAGGGTCACAGTAAATATTTGAACTAATAGAAACAATTCTTTTTGGTAGAAGGATAGAATATTTTGTCCTTGTCTTCCAAGAAAACTCACCTTTTGCAAAAGAAAATCCACTTTTTTCAAGGAATTAAAAATTCCAGAGTTTGGAAGAACTCAGTTAAGACTGTTCCTGTTGTCTGCCATATGGGTTTCCAAGTGGGCTATGAGGGCTCGTTCCTCAGGGTCGGACACAGAGACAGCCACTGTACCCCTACTTGTTAGTGTGAGAGCACTAGGGAACTGACGGTGGGCAGGTGGGCTCCAGACCCACTGTTCTGGTGCGGGTCTGAGAGTTAAAACAGGCCTGACTATGCTCCTCTGTGCCTGTACGTCCTCTGACAGACCATAGTCATGTGTCTTTTGAAGAGGATGCCATCCAAAGCCTTGGGGTTTAGCTGTGAGGCTCTGCACCCCTCCTGGCCTGGGCTTGGTGTCTGGTCCCGTTACTGCCTGGAGTCAGAAAGGCTTGCCCTTGCCTTGCAGCCCACTTGCCCTTTGCTAGTGCCTCTCATGCTGTCCTTGTGCTGAGGGGCAGCTGGGCTTTTGTTCCTTGAGGGGGCTAATGAGCAGGCCTTGGGGAGGGCCCGAGAGGCTCACACCCTCGCAAGCTTCCAGGTTACGCAGACGGGGCCAGTCTGTGACACAGTCAGGAGGCCTCTGACCACCGTCTAGGGACAGAGCTTGATTCTGGGAGTCCAGATGGACCGGTCCAGGTACAGGACAGGGAGGGCACTGAGTTGGCATGTGAGAGGCTCTGTGTGACTAGAGTCTGCTGGGGTCCCTGGCATTGAGATGGTGAATGAGAGAGCTCTGAGTGAGTATTGGGGCAGAGCAGGGTGGGCACCTGAGTGGCTGGGCCAGGGTCATGGGAGAGCCTGGTGCACACAGGCCTGGCCCCTGTGGCATTGCTGTGGATGGCCACCATCCACCAGCCCAGGTCTGGCCAGTGCAAGTGCTTCACTCTGTGTCTCCTGCCCCCAGACGGAGCGAGATGTGAGTGTGCGGCAGCGGGCTGTGGATCTCCTCTACGCCATGTGTGACCGCAGCAATGCCCAGCAGATCGTGGCCGAGATGCTGAGCTACTTGGAGACAGCGGACTACTCTATTCGAGAGGAGATTGTGAGTTCTGGTGGGCTCTGTGTTGCCTTAGCCAGACGCCTGTGAATCTCAGTGAAGTGTTTCTTTGGTGTTTGTTGAGAATGTACTCAACACTGAATGAAAGATGCTTTGCTTTAGCTCTTTAATCATTTCCGGTGGAAGCTGTCAGTTTCCAAATAGCCCTAAGTGGCCCCTGCTAGCAAGCTTTTCTGGCATTACGACCCTTCTGGTGAAGCACTGCTGCCTCTCAGGGTCCTGCCAAGGCCTTGGGCTTGCAGCTGAGGTGAGCGTGAGCTCATGCTCCCGAGGGCAGCACTCTGTGGCTGTTAGTTAGCCTTTGGGCTCACACTTCTTCGCTCGACATGTTCTCTTCTCTGATGTGTCTGGGAGGGAAAGAACCTGAGCCTTGTGTCCTGTGTGGGACTTTTAGTTTCCAGTCTTATTTTGTCATCTGCCAAGTGGGCACACATGCCGAATGGAATGCCAAAGCTCAGCAGATGCTGACTGATTGTGGCAAGGACTGAACCCAGTGCACATTGAAGGCACGAGATTCCTGGTTGTCCTTGGCCAGCTGAGAGGAGGGCCTGAGCTGTGTGTGGTTTGTGCAGGTCTGGCATGATTTCTCCAAGGCCTCTCAGGGTCAGGGTGAACCTGTGTGGAGAGGCGAGTGGTTGAGGCCAGCTGGCTTCTCAGCTTCTCCGTCCTTCGAAGGCATTTCTTACTTGTCTTTCTGGGGAGCAGAGTGCAGGTGATCTTCCTTGGGAACTTTGTAGAGAGTGTCCAGTGTCAGAGCGAGCCGTGACTGACTTTCAAGATTGCTTGTGGGCTGGTGTTTTGGTTTGAAATGAAACGGCCAGGAGCTTCTGAATATGTGTGTCTGCACATAAGACTCGAGTATATAGGGGTTCATTTACTGATTGGCTGTGGCCACTGTGGCCAACCAGGCTGGCTGCCCCTTGGTTGCTGAGTGCGGTGTGCTCCTTGCTCCTCACCATGTGACTGTGCTTCAGCAAGGAGCATGGGGTGCCCCAGAGCAGAACATCAAGGAAGGCTTCTCAGAGGAAGTGTCCCTTGAGCTGAACTATTGACCCACTAGGAAAGAGGGTTAGGGTGGCTGGGGGAGGCAGGAGGAGTTGAGGAGTCTGGCTCCAGGCAAGAAGCTCCAAGAACAGGAATGTGGGGAGGAGGGGAGTTGAGTGTGTGGTGGGGCTGGGGGGCCATGTGGGGTATGGCCCAGCAGTGGGCCTGGGCTGTTCTAAGCAGAGAAGGAAGGGGTGACTTGCAGGTTTTATGGTCTGGAGTGTGGGTCTTACTCCCTTTCAAATGATGAGTGGCAATCCTCAGTCCCCAGGTGAGTTTCTGTGCATCATACCAGACATACCACACACCCTGCCCGCAGGGAGCCTTTTGCCCATGGGGAGCTATTCGTCCACGGAGAGGACTGGTGGTGGGCAGGACAACAGACCTGCTTGTGGGGGGTGGTAAGGATGGTTGGAGGCAGAACCCTGGATTCGGGAGATCTTGGGGAGGCAACTCCATCACGGGGTGCTGGGGGGCTCCTGCAGGAGGTAGGGGTGGGCTTGTCAGGAGAGGATAGAGGCACAGAGGGCCCCTGGGAGGCAGGAGGTAGCTCAGGAGGTAGAGCAGGGCATGTGCAGCAGTGATACTGGGCAGCGTGGTGGTGAGGGGCCCCATGTGCCCAACTTTGGAGTGAGCTTTGGGCTGGAAGCATTTAAGTCAAGGGCAGTGACAAGGTGCGTATTTTGGAATGGTGCTCTAGTCATTATGGAGAGTTGGTTTGGAAGCTAGAGGGTGGGCAGAATAGGCCGATGGTGGTCTGGGCTCTAGCAGGAGCTCTGGAGGCACTGTTGGGAGAGTGAAGGAGCAGGAAGGTCAGTTGTCAGGTTGACAGTGTCCCTAAGCGTGGGCAGCTGCGGGAGTGGTGTGATCCAGGTGTGGCAGCTGATGTTGTTCAGGGCAGGCTTAGTACAAGAAGGATTCTGGGGGAAGCCAGGGGCCTGGTTTCAGATAGCCTGGTGCCATTGCCCTGGGCAGAGGACGTGGCCTGCAGAACCCCAGGGCATGGGGGTGTCAGGGAGTGACTCCATGGGGAGGAGGGAGGTGGGTGAGAAAGGCCACCAGAATGGGAAGAGGCCAGAAGTATAGGTGCTGGGGGTTAGGGGTGGGGAGTGGGGGAGTACCTGCCTTTTCCTAGCTTGCATCCTCCTCTGTCTCTTCCTAGAGGGTGCTTTGGCTTTCCTCAGTTAAACTTCTGAGCCTCAAACTCTCTGGGCCCCTGTGAGAACCTGGTGGAAGTTTCCCACGTGCATCCCTGAGCTTTGGCCCACTTGCTTGGGTCCTTCTGAAGCCCGTGTGCTGCCTCCAGGCAGCTGCCACATGCTGTTGCGGGGCCCATGGGCATCTGCCCTGAATGGTGTTCTCTGCAGGTGCTGAAGGTTGCAATCTTGGCAGAGAAGTACGCCGTGGACTACACATGGTATGTGGACACCATCCTGAACCTAATCCGGGTTGCCGGTGACTACGTAAGTGAGGAGGTGTGGTACCGCGTCATCCAGATCGTCACCAACCGGGACGACGTGCAGGGTTATGCTGCCAAGACGGTGTTCGAGGTACGTCCTGTTGCTCCCTTGGAGGAGGAGCCCTTCTCTGGGGGGCACTGCTGGCTGCCCTTTTCTCTCCCACCAACCACTCAGGGAGGTTCCAGCCGGAGTCGCACCTGGCTGTCCACATTGCCAGCCACGGTGGCGTACTCTGTGCTCTAGGGGCCGTCTGAGCAGATCACTTGGAACTGGGGCCTTGGGCTTGTCTCTGTGTGCATGAGAGCATGTGCAGGGTGTGCCCAGGGAGCATGACCGGTTTTCATCAGCCAGGGGCCTGGGGCCCCCTGTGGGCGCTTCTGTGCTCCTGTCCCCCTTGCCTGGGGAATGGGTGTCGGGTTTCCGGGAGTGCTGCTCTTCTTCTGGGATGGGTTGGCCATGTCCCCTGCCTTCAGGGCTACCCTGCCACTGGACCATCTGCAGGCGTGCAGGAGGGAAGGAAGGGGTGAGAGCAAAAATCGGGGGGTTCCAGGAAGCTTTGGGGACCGCTTGCACTAATAGAACAAGCAGAACTCCTCAGGAGAGCCGCCGCCGCTCAGCTGCTCTCACTTGAAGCTCTGCGGTGCCTTTCTTCCCCGGGGCCTTGAGCTCCCCTGTGTCTGCTCACCTGCTCACTGCCTCACAGGCTCTTCAGGCCCCGGCGTGCCACGAGAACCTCGTCAAAGTCGGTGGCTACATCCTGGGGGAGTTTGGAAACTTGATAGCGGGGGACCCAAGATCCAGGTAGGAGACTCTTTGGGGTCACTTGAGCATTGCATTGAATCTGGGCCTGTGTCTCTTGGTTCTCCCCCTGATGTGGTCTGAGTAAGGCTGGCAAACATCCTCAGGTTGTCTGGACAGCCCAGAGCCCAGACCTCTTCCACTCTGATTGGACATCTTTTTATTTTCCTACAAACTATGCAGAAAACAGGGACTCTAGTTAAAAATGTGGGAATGTGGTCACATGGCTAACATTATTCAAAGGGGAAGTTGGCATTCAGTCTGGCAGAGGGGTGCATGCCTCCCCAGACACACCTCCTTCACAGGAGCAGCTCTGGCTCCAGGTGGGCTGGGTACCCTGAGCATTGCTCACTCCCCTTCCCCTCTTGGTGAGACTCTGGGGGGCCAGGGCTTGGATGTGTGGGTGACGGGCTGAGCAGTGGTGGAGCTGGAGGTGAGGTGGTGACTTTGTGCCCCCTGTCCCCAGCCCTCTGGTCCAGTTCCACCTGCTGCACTCCAAGTTCCACCTGTGCAGCGTGCCCACCAGGGCGCTGCTCCTGTCCACTTACATCAAGTTTGTGAACCTCTTCCCGGAGGTGAAGCCCACCATCCAGGATGTGCTGCGCAGCGACAGCCAACTGAAGAACGCCGACGTGGAGCTGCAGCAGCGGGCCGTGGAGTACCTGAGGCTCAGCACCGTGGCCAGCACCGACATCCTGGTGTGCAGGCTGCCCCACCTCACAGCCCGCCCTTCTCTGGGGTTGAATGCCAAGGGGCTGTGAGCCATGCTGACCTTGGGCTTCTTTCCCACCAGGCAACTGTCCTGGAGGAAATGCCCCCGTTTCCAGAGCGCGAGTCCTCCATCCTGGCCAAGCTCAAGAAGAAGAAGGGCCCAAGCACTGTGACAGACCTGGAGGGGGCCAAGCGGGAGAGGGGCGCCGATATCAACGGGGGCCCTGAGCCTGCAACAGCTGGTGCCAGCACCACGGTGGGTCCCTTCCTGAGGGCAGCGCCTGCTCCAAGATTTGGGAGAATGTTGTTAAATAGGAAAATGCCAAGAGGTGGCACCAAGCGTAGGCCTTGCACTCTCCTTTGCCAGGGACCCCCAGCAACTGTCCTCATCCAGGCCCTGGTCTGACCAAACTCCCGTGCCCTGTCTTCTAGACTGTCTTTCAGGCTGTCGTCCAGAATCAGCGTCCAGATCCTCTGTTTTGACTTCTGCTTTAGAAAATGTGGTCACTCAGCCCTTCCACGGGACAGTGTTAAGTAGGAGGCCTACCCTTCATTGGTTCAGTGTGGACCCACCTCATGCTCTATTCAAAGGGTTCTAGTCCTGAAATGGACTAGAGCAAGTTTCCCTTTCATGTGTGGTATGGTGAGAACACTCACGTACAGTGGAAGTGTGTCCTCTGTGTCAGGTGGGAGGCGCCATCCCGAGCGTTTCCCCGTTTCCCAGCCTGGTGCGGGAGCTCCAAGAAGTAGGCATCCTGCCCTTGGCACTACAATTGGCTCCCCAGGCTGTGGGCCTTCTGCTTGGCCAGACAGGAGGTCCAGAGGGCTTGGTTTCCTCTCCAGGGTGCTGGTCCAGTGATGTGAATGCTGCCACTTACTGATAGCCAGTGATCTTTGTGAGGAGGAGCCTCAGAGGGGGTGTGAGCCCATGTGCTTAGCTTGTGTCTGAGCTCAGGTGTTCCTGGTGGGTCCACTTGGCCTGATCTCACCTCGGCTTGTCTGTCCCCATTGAATGTGTGTCTCACTGCTCAGGCCAGGGACGCCTGGCCTGGCCCCTCACTTGGGGTCCTGTTACAGTCAGTACCGCTCACCTGAACCCTGACACCTTCTCTCCAAAGGTGCCTTCTTTGGTCCGGACCCTTGGGGTCACCTGCTGACGCCTGCTCTGTGGCTTCTGGCTGCTTGACTTCCATATGGGTTGGTTTTGGAGGGAATGTTAGATTTCTCTCCAGGTGGTCATCTCCCTTTGTGCCTGAAGGACCTCACAAACCCAGTGCCTTTGAACTTGAACTGTGGGCATGAGGTGGACTTGGAGCCTGAAGGCAGTATAGCTGGCTGTCTCCTCTTGGGAGCAGATGCTTCCTTATGAAGAGGTCATGAAGGTCATCCTCGTACCAGAGGGTCTGCTGATGGGTTGGGTTCAGTGCAGTGCTGTGATTCTGGAGCTGGCACGTGCGCAGGTTTGTCTGTGGACTGATGTTTACATAGCGCTGGATGGGGGTCTTCCCGTCTTGCGGCAGCTCCTGAGGGAAGACGTGCGTGCAAAGTGGGCTGCCTCCAGGGAGGCTTTGACGGCCCACCTTGGACCTAGGCAGACAGCCCAGGTGCATGGCTTCCTCCCCTGCAGCTCTGACTGCCAGAGGAATGCTGGCGGGAGCACAGGAGATGGGATTTGACGTCCTTTCTGATGGTTGCTTTTGGTCTCTTTTTTTGGTTCCTACTTGATTTTTCTCAAGAGGCATGTGCACTCTTGGCCCTACCTTGGGTTTGTCCAGCGATGCCCAGGATCCAGGCTCTGGCGTGTGGCTGAGCGGCTTAGTAGGAACTCAGTGGAACTTCTGTAACCTGGATGTGAGCAGTGAGCTCCGCTCTGGAAGGTAGACCAGAGTTCAGTGGAACTCCAGAACAAGATTTAACATTTCGATTAGGGGACACATTCTTGGGGGTTGGGGAGGGAGGCTCTCTCCTGTTAAAGGAGCATTTCCAACTTCAGGCTGTAAGCCCGCTTCTGACTGTAAGTGCTGCCTGGTAGGTGCATGCTCAGTAAGTAGACGTGGGTGGCTGTGAGCAGGTTGAAAGCTTGTGGTGTTGGCACTGGACAGCAGTGTGATTGTGTGAGTTCTGATATGTCCTCAGAGCTCAGGTGGGGGGAACTGGGCGTGCTGGTGGTGGCAGGGATGCAGGACCAAGGAGTGGGGCTCTCCCCTGGAAGACTTCCTGCACAGCCTCAGATGGCACTGAGATGTTGGGGTGACATGAAAACCACTTGTACTTTGGTGTAATAGTGCCCTGGACATCTTATTTAGGGTCCTAAATGATGCCAGAAGGTTTTCTTGTCACAGCAGCCTGCAGTCCCGTGGGTGTGGGCCCTCAGCACCTGTCGCTCCTGGCTGCTCGTCGGTGTATCTAGGGTACCTGTAGCAGTGCCAGGCTGCCTCTGGGGGCTACTGGTGACTGCCCAGCCCTCCTGGAGCCTGCCCATACCCCACTGGCCCTGTGAGCACCTGTGCTGTTCTAATTCCTGTTGTCGTAGCTGTCACAGGGGATGCAGCTCATGTGCCAGGTGGTGCCAGGCAGGCCCCCACGGAGTGTCTCCCTGAGACCAGTGAGTCCTCACATGCCTCGGGGCAGAGCCAGCACTGAGCTTGGGAAGGGGCAAGCTTCCCAGTGGGTCCTCCCAACAGAACAGCCTTGCTTTTGTGTGTGGTAACTTTTGGGGTGCTTGTTGGATTCAGTTGGACCAAAGGCTTTACTACTTTAATAAGCATTTGAATTGTGAATAAAAAGAGTAAAGCCCTTCAGGAACTAGTCGTAAAAGTCTCAGTGGATGGTGTGGGGGACATGACCCCATTCAGGCTGCCGGTGTGTCAGTTATGACAGATTCCTGGCCTGCATGATTCACAGCAGGGCTCAAGGCCACCTGAGGTGAGCTCCTGACCCTTTTGTGTTAGTGAGGTGGCACCATGGGCCACTGGGTCCTGGGTGCCGGGAGGGCCAGGAGCCACTTTGAGAGGGCATCACCCAGACCCTTCCCGACTCTGCAGAAATGTCTGATGTTTCTTCTCTTGACCCCTCCTCTGTGGTCCCCTCCTCTTCTGGTGCCTGTGGGACCAGCCTGGCTTTCTGTGCTGGGCCTGGTGGGTGGGCGGGGAGGAAGCTGGGAGCTGCTGCTTTGTTTGGGAGAGTGAGTGGGGAGGAGGTGTGCTGCTGTGTGAATGGCCTTGTTCTTTGGCCAGGGATCTAACAGCAGCAATTGTGTTGGGGGCTTTTTATCTGCCTTGCCTCCAGGGCCCAATACAACTTCGATTAAGCTCAGAATACACCCTAAGGAGTTATTTGGTTTACTTTTCATCTTTCACACACTCTCTTTTTGGATGATAGATGCTAGCGTGCATGGTCTTATTCCTTAAACCAGACATTTTTTTGGATTACTTTCATGGCAGAACTTTTTTCAGAACTTCTTTTTCATTCAGATAACTTCTGTGAAAAAAGGTTGGCTACTTTTCCATCATGGGTAATTGGGACTAATCTTTCAATGTGCTGATCCTTGGTCTTGCCTCAGGGCCACCCACGCACTTGCTGGGCCCTTGCCCAGCCCAGCCTGGTGCAGGGGAAGCCTGGGTGGGAGGGAGTGGTGTGCCGGTGGTGGGGAGTGCGCCGGCACTGGGGCTCACTTGGGGCTGGCGTGTGGACCAGCTCTGATGATGCGCCCTCCTGCCCTGTTTTCCAGTCTACACCTTCTCCATCCGCAGACCTCCTGGGTCTGGGGGCTGCCCCCGCTGCCGCTGCAGGCCCCCCCACCTCCTCTGGTGCGCTGCTCGTGGACGTGTTCTCAGACTCGCCCTCCATGGTGGCGCCTCTGGCTCCTGGCTCCGAGGACAACTTTGCCAGGTAGTCTGACTCTGTTGTCCTGAAGACAGGGACGCTGTTTGCCCTGACCATCTGTCCGGATGCCCCAGTCAGCAGTTGGCTGGATGGAGTGGGCTGTGGGCCTTACCTCCCACGTCCCTCACTGGCCAGAGGGGACAGGTTTGCTCTGTAGCCACCCCAGGCCTTCTTGGCCCGCCCACCTCCACCGACACAGGTAGCTCATGTTCTCACAGGAAGAAAGACCTGTTTAGGGAGGGGCCCGGTGACTGGCTCCTCTCCTCACCCGGGCCCCTTCCCCTGCCCAGGCTGCTTTCAGTCTGGGCGCCCTGCCTTTGGTTCAGAAACATTCTCCAGATGCATAGTCGCTGCTTTATGCTGCAAAGTCTCTGTCCCCAGGTGGGCTCCATCCTGTGACCAGCTGGTCTTCACCGAGATGTGTGTGTACCTACTGTGTACTGAGCCCAGGCTCCCCGCTTTGCCCCTCTTTCCCCATTTTCAAAATAGAAATGTCAAGCTGCACTTCCTAGCTCACTTCCTTCCCCTTCCTTTGCTGTGCAGATTTTGTTCCTTTTTCCCCTCTTGCTTTTGTCCCTACTTTGTTTCTGCTGATCTTACATCTGGCTGGGAGGTGCGGGAGGGCTCGTTCTCTGTGGCGAGCGGAGACCAGTTCTGTCCCTGGCCGTACAGGCACCTTCAGGGAGGGCCCATGTCCTTGGCGTCCCGGGGATAGCAGGACTCCTGAGCTGCCTCTTTGTGTTCCTGCTGCCCACTAATTCCAACTTCCGGTGCTTGGTGAGTGGCCGAGGAGAGGCAGGTTGGTGCACATTGCCTGCTATAGCTGAACACAGACTTCTTGCTGCTTTTAGAACTGCTGAGATAAAGATTGAACAGCCCTGCAGACCCTGGGTTGCAAGGCCCTCACGTGCTAAAGCAGCACGTGTCCTGGCAGAGCACTGGGCTCCAAGCTGCACGTCTGGGTCTGGGGGGTGATCTGACAGGGGCTTCACCCAGTGTCCTAGCCCTCGCTGTACATGTGTGTCCCCCAGGGGCTCTGGGAGCACTGCGTTCCTGAGCACAGGCCTCCTGTATTTCTGAAGCCTCTGGTGGAAGGCTTGGAAGGACGGCTGGTGCCCTGTAACCCGAGGCCTTGGCTTCATCTTGCAGGTCCCAGGCAGTCCAGTGGGCATGGGAGTCAGACTCCTTGGGCCTTGACATGGCTGCAGAGGGTGATGAGGTGTTGCCTTGGGCTTGGTGAGCTGGAGGTGCAGCGTGCTTCCATCCACGCCGCCACAGCTCCTGGAGTGGAGCCTGGGCAGCACAGACTGTCCTCACCAACCCACAGATGCCACAGGCCAAGTTTTGGTGGGGATGACCCTAGGAAAAAAGCAACCAGCCAGACATTGGCTTTTGGGCCACTTCTGTCCCTAGGGGGCGATAGGTTGCTGCCCTTCTCATCTCCTCAAAAGATGTGAGTTTAAAGTGGCGAAGTCGAAACCTGCTGTACCACACCCACTTTGCAACCTCCCGTCTGGGTGGTTGGCCCACCTGTGGGTCTTTGTTGGGTGTGGGTGGGCAGTGACCCTGTGTCTGTGTCGTCCAGGACCTCTGTCTGCTGCACTGCCTGCTCTGTGAGAGTCCTGGGAGTGCCTGAGTGATCAGCTCGGGAGGTGCGTGGATGTGTCATCCTGGGTGTGTGTGGAAGGTCATGCCTATCAGATGGGCTGCATTTGCCTCAGGAAGCTCTTTGCCCCAGTGCGCAGCTTGCACTGGACGGAGAGCCTGTTGTGTTGGGACCTGGGGGACTGCGTGAAGAGGAGGGGTAGCTGCAGCCCTCAGGGTGGTGTGCTGGGCCAGCTGGCGTGAGTGGGTGTGAAGGCAGAGCCAGCCAGGCTCAGCTGTCTCCTCACTAACGGTGTTCGAGACTGGGTGACTTAGTCCTGATTTGACTTTGACTAAGGTGGCTTCTGGGGGCGCAGTGGCTGAGGTCGGCATGGTGCTGATGGTCTTATATGATTATCTGATATTTGCAACCTGTGGACCCTGAGTGGGCGCCTGCAGCGCAGTCCGTACACAGGGCGACAAGTTCAGGCATCACTGGCTTTGAGCTTCTCCAAGTCAACAGCACAGCTGGGCATGGGGATTTTGGGGTGTGCAGACTGCTACCTTGAGTACCTGTCTCAGTTCCCCCCACTTCCCCTGTCCCGTCAGGACTGCATCTTCTTCCACGCTCTCTCCTGCAGCCCGGCTGGCTGACTGTGGGACACCCTGCCCCTCACCCCATTCTTTTGGTCCCAAGATGTTTCATAATTATGATTTACATTAGAGGAGCCCAGAATGCTTTAAGCTCCTCTGAGGTAAAAGCAAACACGTTATTTTATTTCCCTCTGATTCTGTATAGTAGGTACCACGTTGGAGGCAAACCACGGCCCTGTGTGGGGTGAGCCCCAGCCCTGCCTGAGGAGGCGGGGGGTGGCGACAGGGCGAGCTGAGCCCCTGGTGCTATGCACAGGGGACCTGCTGTGCACCTGCACCTTGGTGTCCATGAGCGACACTGTCCTGGAAAGCAGAGCCTGGCTCCCCTGGCAGGGCCTCCTTTTGGGCATGCTTGGGTCACAGCTCTCTGCTCAGTCTCCAACTCCAGGGGGCACTCACAGTAGTGTTCTTTGCAGTGTTTCTTATTTTTCTCTTTCCTTGTGTCCCACAGAGGTTTTCCTGGCTTTAGTGTTCATTAAACTCTTTTTCAAAACCAATCTTTGTATTTTAATTCACTGGCTTTAGGTGACTCACACATATTGTTCCTTTTCCCCCAGGTTTGTCTGTAAAAATAATGGTGTCTTGTTTGAAAACCAGCTGCTTCAAATTGGACTTAAGTCTGAATTTCGGCAGAATTTAGGTATGTGTTTTAATTACTTAGTGAAAACTTCTCTTAGTAATATGGGGAGAAAATATTTGTACATTGTACATCTGATAAGGATCTGGTTTTTAGAATATGTAGGGAACTACAATTCAAAAACAGAAAAACAACCCACTTAAAAAATGGGCAAAAGACTTGAGTAGATGTTTCTCTAAGGAAGATAAACGACTGGCCAAAAGCCCACCAATGCCTGCTCACCACTAGTTGTCAGAGTGGTGCAGACCACACCCATAGCTGGGTGCCACCTCATACCCGCCAGGACGGCTGCCAGAAGCCTAAGTTGGGGTGAGGACGTGGATGAAGTAGGCCCTGTGCGTCACTGTGGGAACGTGAAATGGTGCAGTCACTGTGGAAAACAGTGCATGGGTTCCTTAAAAAATTAAATAGCATTACCATAGATTCTCCTTCTGGGTCTGTACCCAAAAGAATTGAAAGCCGGGGTTTAAAGAGATATTTGCACATGTATGTCCACAGCAGCATGATTCACAGTAGCTAGAATGTCTATCCACAAATGGACAGAAAACACAATGTGTCCGTCCACGTGTCTCTCAGCCTTAGAAAGGAGGGAAATTCTGGCCCTGTTGCAGCATGGATGGACCTTGAGGTCATTGTGCTGAGTGAAACAAGGCTATCTGAGGACAGACGCTGTGCAGTCCCCCTCCCAGGAGGGCTTGTACCCCTCAGATCCGTGGACACGGGGTGTGGCACCCAGGCTGGGGAGGGGAGGGGGTGTTTAGTGGTCACAGAGCTTCAGTTTGGGGAGATGGAAAGTTCTAGGGCTGGTGGGGATGGCTGCACAACAATGCAGATGTTCTGATACTGCAGAACTGTGCACTTAGAGATGGTTTTGATGGTGAATTTTATATACGTTTTACCACAATTAAAAAAGAAAAGCTTCTGAGCTGCCCACCCCCCCACCCCCATTATGCCCCATGACCATTGGGACTGCTGGTGAGGGGAGCACTTGTGGATTGATGACTGCCCCCTCCCTCTTGGGCATGTCATGGAGCCTTGTGAGAACTCACTTTTCTCTGCTTATAAAAACAAATGAAAATGTGAAAGAAAGAGAAATAGCACAGCTGCCCTCCAGGGAGCTTTAGGGATGTTGTGAGGGTTAACAGAATAATTCTTGGGGGACATACTGTGTTGAAAATGGACTATGATATTTACTCCTGATTTGACAGGTGTTAGACTGGGGGTCGTGATGGCTTCAGCTGGGCTTTGGTATTGTTTTCTTAAATCGTGGAAGGAGTGATGCCAAACAGCTTGTCCTTCTCAGGGTATTTGAGGTTCATGTTTCGTTCTGAATGCAAAGGATATAAAACATTTATGAAGGCTTGCATGAAGACTTGTGTTGTGCCATGGATACTGAAGGCCTGGAGTGCCCTCCCAGTCCGTCGGCCCAGGTTCACCAGCTGCAGCAGCAGGGGGCTTGGGCCTGGGTTTGCAGGGGAGCCCAGACACCCTGTCTAGGGCAGGGGGTTCAGGGGGCTTGGGCCTGGGTTTGCAGGGGAGACCAGACACCCTGTCTAGGGCAGGGGGTCCAGGCACAGTGTGGCAGTGCTGACTGGTGTCCTGGAGAGCTGGGGCGTTCACGGCTGCTGCCTGTTCTATGGGTGCCCATTACCCTGGGAAGGTGGGGGGGCTGCACCCATGGGGTGTTGGTGAGCAGGAGCCCCTCATATTGAGAGCTGTGATCTTGTGACTACTGTGGCAAGATTCAGGAATTGCAGCACCTCACTGAAGCTCAACTTGAATGGGGGCTCTTGTTTTCTGCTGGTTGTATTCAGGATATTTGTGAAAGAGATTGTTCTTGTTTCCTTCTAGGTCGAATGTTTATATTTTATGGTAATAAAACCTCCACGCAGTTCTTAAATTTCACTCCAACACTAATCTGTTCAGATGACCTTCAGGCCAATATCCTTGGTCCCATTACCCTGTGTCCCCGTCAGGCAGTGCTGTGGGGTTTGGAGGAGGGCTGTGTATCCAAGTGCTGGGGCAGTGCTAGGTGACCTTTCCAGAACCGAGCTGTGCACATTAAAACGGCGTGCAGGTGTCTCTTGAGTCACTTTCTTTTTCCCTTGTTCTGTTCTCCTGTGACATTGTTGGTCCCTCTGCACTCTGGAGTCTCCCAGGGGTAGCAAGCTGCCGGAGACTGAGGGCCATGCCCAGGACGAGCCTATGTCTGTGCCCAGCAGCTCTGTGTCCAGACTGGGGACTCGCCCCATCACTATCAGAAACAGGGTGAGGGCCTTGCAGTTGATATCAGCTTTGGTGTCCACATATCTTTTCCTCTGTGGAGGGGCTGACCACATAAAGGGAGGCTTGTGAGGCCCCAGCTTGACAGAGGAGGACGCTGCCTTCCCTGGAAAAGACATGTCCTTACCACAGGTCAGATCCATTTTTATTTTAAGATAAATATGTTTAAGTGTGGACTGTTAAAGGCAAGCATTTCAAATAGTCATAAAAAAATGCACATAAGCAGGCTCTACTGTGGTAGAGGCTTCTGCGCAGTTGGATGTGAGCTCGGAGGCCTGTTATGCACACTGGCCTCACTCCCGGGTGCTGAGATCTGTTTGCCCAACACTGATGTGCTCCTTGACTCATCCACGTCTGAGCCTGCAGACCAAGCCTGTGGACCCGACTGTGGACGGGGGTGCACAGGTGCAGCAGGTCGTCAACATTGAGTGCGTGTCTGACTTCATGGAGGCGCCCGTCCTCAACATCCAGTTCAGGTAGGAGCCTCAGGTTGCCGTGCTCTGCAGCTGGGCCGGCTAGGGGCTGGGGGTGTGGAGGGGCTGAGCCCGCATTCAGCCGTGTCTCTGGGGGCTTTTGTCCTCGCGTGCCACAGCATCCTTGCTTTGGGGGTGTTGTGAGGATGGAGGGGGTAGCCCAGGGCCATGCTGGCACTGCCACATACACCGCGCTTGGGTGGCAGGGAGTGTGGGAGTGAGAGGAGAGGAGGCATGCCCAGGGCTCGTGGAGCCTGGTGTCTGCCAGCTGTGAACGGGCTGCCCCACAGCTTGGGGGCTGGCCAAGTCTCATGTACCACTGCCTGGCTTGCTGCCCCTCCACCAGTCAGCTGCAGGGCAACGGGTCCCTCCATACACACCTGGGTGTGTGCATTTCTGCACAGTTGTACTCCAAGAGCACATGCCATTTTAATTATTTTTTTAAATGGGTTTCGTGTTGCTACTTGGTTCCTACTGTCATATTTTTGGTGGCAGCACTAGAGTACACATGACCACCCAGGTCCTGCTGAGTGTCTGTAAGGTTAAACTTTTGGAAAAGCTAACGTTGTTTTTGAACATTATAAACACAGAGAACTGAAGACTGTTGTAGAATTAGGGAAATAGACATGCAAATTTTTATTTCATTCTTTCCTTAGTCTTTTGATGGGAAAAAAAAACCCCACACAATTTAAACCAACGTGAAGCTGTAAGAAAAGGACTGATGGGGAGGGTGAAGAGGTGGGTTCCTGGTGCTGGTGTCCCCTTGCCTGAAGCATGCTGCCAGGGGCAGGGCTCCTGCACTGGCCACGGTTCCTCCTCATCTGTACAGAGAGGAGGAGCCAGCCTCTGCCTAGTTCGTCCTTCCAGAACACTCCGCCTGCCCTTGTTGATAGGACAGCCCCCAGGGGAAGGCGCCTGGCTAACCGGCTGAGATGGAGGCCTGCCCACCTTTTACACCCAGGTCTTTCCTGTGTCTTGCGGTTCAGAGACGGGGACTTGGCTCTCCCGTTAGCTGCAGATCTTTGGGCTGTCTGTGTGCTCTTCAGCATGTCTCTGTGTTGCCGTAGGTATGGGGGCACCTTTCAGAATGTGTCCGTTAAGCTGCCTGTCACACTCAACAAATTCTTCCAGCCCACAGAAATGGCTGCTCAAGATTTCTTCCAGCGTTGGAAGCAGCTCGGCAGGTGAGCTGGTGAGCCCTATGGGGTGGGCGCAGGGCGCTGTGCCCCAGATGTGGTGGGGGTCCTCAGCTTGTCTGCTTCTCATAGTCCCCAGCAGGAAGTGCAGAACATTTTCAAAGCAAAGCATCCCATGGACACAGAGATCACCAAAGCCAAGGTAAACGCTGTGCTGAAAGCTGTTCTGAGTCAGGGCCCTGCTTGGGGCTGCCAAGAGGGCCACCTGTGCCCCATCCCGAGTGTCCCGACTCGCCTGTTTGCTTTGCACAGATTATTGGGTTTGGTCCTGCGCTCCTTGAAGAAGTTGATCCTAATCCTGCAAATTTTGTGGGAGCTGGTATCGTACATACCAGAACCACCCAGATCGGATGCTTACTGCGTTTGGAGCCAAATCTACAAGCCCAGGTCAGGCCTCTTGAGGAAATGGTTAAATACACTGAAATTGGTTTTTGTGTGATAATTTACACACAGTGAGATAATGGGTACTAAGAGCAGTAGTCTGATGAGTTTCGACAAGTGTGTATACCTGTGACCACTGCCACCCCATTGATATAAAAAGAGCATTTCCATCACCCCCAAGTGTTCCCTGGCACACCTCTCCTCGGCCTGGCCCTAAGCTCCATCAGTCACCGTCACCATGTTGCTGCATGTGTCCACAGGGGGCCCACTTGATGGCCATGCAGCCCTCCTCTGGGGACGTGCCCAGCTGGTGTACCCAGTGTGGACAACAGCTGAGCTGACTTGGTTTGGCCACTGTGAATAGGGCTGCTGTGGGTGCTTCTGGACATGTCTTTGCTCAGACGTCCATTCTCACTACACTTGGGCAACCTTCAGGGTGGAGTTGCTGGGCCTCAGTGCCTGCACAGTTACCCCCCAAGAAGCTCCACATTGCTTTTCAGAGTTGCTGCAGATTTGTACTGTCCCCAGCAGCATGTTGGCACACATCACCGTCAAGTGTTATTTTAACTGCTGGCAGTGTGTTTGCTAAGCAGGTTTTTGTAAAACAGCAGGTGCCTCCAGCAAAGGGCTGAGCAGAGGAGCCTGAGTGACTGCTGGGCAGGGCCTGGCCCCAGGCTGCCACTGCTCTGACAGGCCCTGGGGCCGCCACTGCCCTGATAGGACCCAGGGACAGCCACTGCCCTGACGGAACCCTGAGGCAGCCACTGCCCTGACGGAACCCTGGGGCGGCCACTGCCCTGACGGAACCCTGGGGCGGCCACTGCCCTGACGGAACCCTGGGGCGGCCACTGCCCTGACGGAACCCTGGGGCCGCCACTGCCCTGACGGAACCCTGGGGCCGCCACTGCCCTGACGGAACCCTGGGGCGGCCACTGACCTGCTGTGCATTTGCTTTCAGATGTACCGGCTCACGCTGCGCACGAGTAAGGAGACTGTCTCTCAGAGGTTGTGTGAGCTGCTGTCAGAGCAGTTTTAGCCAGCGAGAACGGAGCATCAGGCTTGCCTGTGTGCACTGCTCCTCATCTCTATCGTCTGTCTTCACGACCGTGCTGCAGAGAATGCCCCATCCACACAGCGTGGCACATGGCCTCTCAGCCTGCCACTCAGACCGTGTCCTGGGCAGGGACAGGATGCCAGGGTGCTGTGGAAGAGGGAAAGGCTGAGCCTGCACAGCTGCCGAGGCAGAGGAGGGAACATGGGTCTGGGATCGGTTCCTACAGAAATGAAGACAATTCTGTGGTCACATCTGCAGATTAAAGGGAAATCAAGTTTGAATGAAAATGGAGATGTTTTTGAAATGCTGTCAAGTGTTATCAAGATGCCACTGCTCTGCTGCTGACAGTTCATTGCTGACTCTTGTCTGCAGTGGGGCCGTATCTTCACTAAGCTTTTGGCTTTTATGGCAGGTGGTTGGCCCTGGGTGCCATCCTTGGGGCGCTGGCTGCGGGAGTGCCGAGCATGCAGGCTTGCAGCTGTGTGGGCGGGTGTCTTGTGGGGCAGTGTTCTAAATGTGGAATTAGAAACATTTTTGTTTTTAGTGACTGTTGACACAACCACACGTCTTGGCTGGATATAACTGTTCTTTGCCCAGTCCTGTGTTCTCACGGGGTATTTGTGATGCTGCTGGGCAGTCTGAGACCTCACTGTCACCATAGTGGCTAAGGACTGGTTCTGTTTATGATTGGAGGGTTAGATGTGGGCTGGTGGTGGAGATTCTAGAAGGGGAGCTGGCCTCTTGCCCATACAGTGGCCTTAACCTGTTGGTGCTGTTTCCCCAGGGTAGCAGTCGTGGTCTGGGGTGGCACAGGCGTTGGTGTCTGCAGAGGCTGAGCTGTGTGTATGCTCAGGAAGTAGCATGCCGAGGGTGAGCAGGTGCCACACTGCTCTTGTTGCTCAGTTTTTGACACTGGCACAAGGCTGTAGGTCTGCACCTTGAGATGGTTGATATTAGGGCAGAGCTGAGTGGGGGTGATGCTGTGGGTGGGTGGTAGACACACGCTGGCATGCCTTGAGGAGCCTAGGAGGAGCCAGAGCCCTCGGCTGTCCCTCTGTTTCACAAGAGGACCCAGTGTGGGGCAGTGAGGAGTGTGGGCATGGGCAGCATGGCATGCATCCCGGGGAGGCAGCTTACGGTATTGCTAGCAGGCTGAGTACTGGTGCCATGGCAGGGCAGTGTGGCTAGTATCCCTGCCATCCTGCACACACCCCACTCAAGGTTCATGTAGCTCCTGTGGTACATGGCCCATGACCCATGTTGATCTGAGTGACCAGTGCCTTCCGTGCTTGCTTCTGTGTCTCCTGGAGCCCATGTATGGCAATACAAGTGCCTGGCAGCACTGGGTCTATGTCTCAGATCCTCTATGGGGCCATGCCACCAAAGTGGCAGCCTTCATGCTTTTGTCCAAGCTGCTGGCTGCCAGCTAAGTGGTGTTCCAGTGTTCATTGACCCCCTCCCTGGAGCAAGGCATGTGGCGGCTCTGCCAGCCTTCATCTGTGTGCTGCTGTGGGTGAGGGTCCCCAGCAAAGCTCCCTTCCCAGGAAGGGGAGTGCAGGTGTAGTGACTGGGGCGCGTGTGTTGTCTTTGGAGGGAAAAGCATGCCGTATGCCCCTCAGGGTCTCATACTGCAGGCTGTGTGGCCATGGAGCATGGATGGCATAGGCACAGCGCCTGTCCTGGATGGGGGCACAGCCTCCAGAGCACCTGCCTGGGTCCCGGGGTGGAGGCGTGGGTGCGTCTGGGCTGGTGTGCCTGTGGCTGTGTACGTTGTCTCAGGGTGTGTGGTGCAGCCTGCCCCAGGGAGTGTGGACTCCCCTGGAGGGTGCTGCTGCCTGGCTTGGGGTCTTCCTGCTCTGCACTGGGTGGCAGGGTCCTGCCTTCTTGGGTCTAAGGGACAGTCGGGTCCAGGGTTTCCTTCCTGGGGAACAAGCCCGCTGAGCTCACAGCGGGTGACCCAGCCACAGAGCAGGCACAGGCTCCCACAGGACAGAGGGCTTCGTGGGAGAGTCCTGAGCGCGGGAGGGACCCTGGAGGGGAAGGGTGGGTGCAGGGCCTGTGGTGCCTCCTCTCCTGGCCTAGAATGGTGCCAGGGTGGGTATGGGCCAGGCATGGGTCCGGGGGCTGGCGAATGCCTGAGGAGCGTGGGAGACAACACAGCAGAGCTCAAGAGCCAGCCTCTGTGCCTGTGCCAGTGCCACTTTATTTGTCATCCGTTCTGGGCGGCCTTGTCGTGCACAATGCCTGTGTTTGCCCTTCTGCCACCTTCCCTCCCTTGTGCTGCCTGCCCTGCTGTGACCCCTGTCCCCAGGCACCCCCGCCGCAGGGTTTGCTCCTTGGGCTGTTTCCAGGATCCCGCTCCATCAGGGCTAGGTGGCTGCTTCCAAAGGCTGGGACACTGTGTGGGTGGCTGATGGGCACGGCCAGGATGTGCCCCGTGTGGCCCAAGCTGGCTGTTCTTGCAGCCTGCTGGGCTGGGGCAGGAACTGCCTGGAAGCCCCTTTCCCTCAGGCATCCAAGTGAGCCGTGTCTGAGGGCTCTTCCAGGCTGTGACTTGTGGCCAGGAAGTGGGCTGCTGAGCACAGCAAGCTGGGGGACTGGGGCTCTGCCCACTAGTCTCCACAGTGCTGGGGGCTGCATGCGCAGCTGCTGAACACCAGCAGGGGGAGCACAAGCTGCTGTCCCTGCACTTTGGGGTCTGGGCAGGGCAGCACCAGCTGTTTCTCATAGGAGCTGACGGGGTAGCAGCAGCCACAGTGTGTGTCCACTTGGTTGGTGTTGATGTTGAAGCTGCAAAGAAGCCACAGCAGACAGCGCAGGTCAGGGCCCTGCGTTGGGAGTGTTCCCGACCCTCCCCAGCCATGCCAGACCAGGGTGGGACCCAGCCCCCGGTGGGACCCTCAGAGGCACGGCCTGCCATTGCTGGCCTCCTTGCTCTCAGGAGGTCGGCCATGGGGCTGCTGTTGCCCTAGGCAGGCACGGTTGGCTCAGGGTGCAGGCCGGGTTCCCGAGGGGCAGCATGCTGCCTGGGCCTGGAGCCTGTGGTGGACCTGCCTGACTTCCACCCAGAGCTAGGAGGAGGGACAGGTCACCATCCCTGGAGAGACCACCAGGTTCGATGGCTCACCTGGTGGAGGAGGCACAGGTGCCCTCGCAGCGCGTCAGTGTCACATTGGATCACCATCCCTGGAGAGACCACCAGGTTCGATGGCTCACCTGGTGGAGGAGGCACAGGTGCCCTCGCAGCGCGTCAGTGTCACATTGGCTGTGCACCCCTGGTAAGTGACCTCCTCCTCAAACTCTCTCACGCTGCATATTCCTGGGGATGGGAGGTGGGTGGTTCAATGCCAACCCCAGGGCACAGTGTCTGCAGCTGACACTCCCAGGGGAAGGACATGATATACCTCATTTTGGACTCCTGGGTTCTAAGCCTACTTTTTACACTGGCTCAGTTGAGTAAAGGAGCTAGCCTAGGGCCCCCACCCCCACTCCAGCCCCCGCCTCAGGCCATCTCCCCGTGTCTGAGCCCTTCTGAGCTCAGACCTCACAGCATTGCGTGGGCACAGAGCCTGATGTGCTCTCATTCGGGGTTTCTTCCTGAAAGCCAGCCACACTGGGAGCTCCTTAGGGGAAGGGTCTTCCCAGAGGAAAGGCACATTCCCACCCCTGGGCCTGAGGGAACCACACGTGGCCCCTAGCCTCCCCAGCCACCTCCTTTCCCAGCCCAGCACCGACCTGTGGGCATAGGTGTCTCTGGTCTACTGGGCTCAGAACCTGTGGGAGGGACAAGGGAGAGTGTCAGGGTCCTCAGAGGGGACAGATGGCATCACGGGAACCCCCAAAAAGGGTCTGTGCTTCCTGAGGAACGGGGTGTGAACCTGGCCATGAACTCTGGCCTTTGTCCATCCCAGTGGGTGGCAGGTGTCGGTGAGATGCCTGGCGCCCTGGCAGTTGGCAGAGTGGTGTTGGCATAGGAACTGCACTTGGGACTTGAGTGAAAAATCTAAAGGGTTTCTGAGTGCAGACAGGACCTTGCTTACCCTGCCATGCCTCTGCTTATGGCCTCCGTGGGGCACTCTTGTGGGGATACAGGGCCTGGCGGGTCTGGGGCCCCAGGTGTGTCCTGTGGGCTCCTGTTACCCCCAGCTTGCCTCCCGTTCCTTCACCCTGCTTCGTGGCCTTCCTTGTGGAGAGCCCACACCCAGTCTTTGTCCCACCGGAGAACAAACGTTACTGTGACAGGGCTGTGTGGGGAGGTCTGAGGGCACATGAGGGGAGCCAGCCTGGGGGTCAGGTGCATGCAGGGAGCCTCATGGGGAGGAGGGGGCGTCCCTGGAGGACAGGGTGGACGGTGGACTTGGGCAGGCCTTGGGGCAGGAGGGCAGACTGGGAGAGGGAGGAGGCTGCAATGCTGACGCCTGGACAGGGGCTGTTGCTGGTTGCCAGGCCCACTCGGCCCCCAGCGGTGGCTGGGGTGTGTGCTGTTTTCACCTCCGAACTGTGAGGGGGTGAGGGAACCGTTGAAGCCCAGAGACCCTGCCAGTGTCAGCCTGCTCTGAGCTCTGGAGGGCACAGCTATCTAGGCAGCTGAGGGGTCAGTCACCACAAGGGACGGTCAGGACTGCAGCAGGGAATGGAAGGGGCTGGGGGTAGGCGCAGGTGAGCCACATGTACAACAGAAACGGAGGTGGAGAGGTGAAGGCCCTCCTGGGGCAAGAAGCCAGTCAACCATCTCGGCCAGAATGGAGTGGCCTGGGCCCAAGAGGAGGGGGAAAGGGGACTGGAGCCCAGTCAAGGATGGCTGAGATCGGGCCTGAGGACAAGAGGCATCACGTGGCAGAGTGCAGGCAGATGGGGCTGCGGGTGATGAGGCACTATGCAGGCAACAGAGCATGCTGGTGGAGCGCTGGCATTCGCAGGCATCTCCACGGCAGCTGCGGGAAGAGGACAAGCAGGGGCTCCAGCCTGGGTGTGTGGGGCCCCGTCTCTGCTCAGCAACCTGCACTGCCTGGCTGACCCCAGGAGAAAGGAAGGTTAATCAGCAGGGAGGAGCACAGAGCCAGTCGAGACAATGACCTACCACATGTCAGCACCATGTAGGGGGCCATGGGAGCATAGCACGGCCCGGAGGTCATCAGAAAGAGGGAGGGGACAAGATGAGTTGGGCACTGCATGGGATCGGCCCAAAGTGCTCTCTGAGGTGAGAGGCAAGGCTGAGAGGAAGCTGCACACCCAGGGTGGCCGTGCGCCTACATAGATGACACTTACCTGGGGAGCTGGACAGAGATGTGATGAGAGACGGCGTTGGGGAGCCTCTGGTGGAAAAGGACACTGCAGTGGAAAGGGAAGAACTTGCATGCCCAGGGACAGAGCTGATCAGCACAGCAGTGGTCAGCAGCCCTGGACTTCCAGGCGGCCTGCTGGTGAGGTGTGTGGCTGACGAACTTCGGATGGTCGTCACCCCCAGAGTGGATGACATGAGGCCAGGTGTGGGAACTCGAGTCGTAAAAGATGTATACTGGGAGGTGGACGGAGAGGATACAGTAGGGACGGGCAAAGATCTGGACGTGGTTGGGATAGGGGACAGATGACCCACTGTACTAGAGGTGGGGACATGGGGTGTATAAGAGGAGACATGGGAAGGGGATGTGGTGGGCAGAGAAGAGGGCAAAGCAGTGGGAGAGAGAAGAGGTGAGAGGGAGCCACTAGCGGAGGAGGAAGTGGACAAGGTAGACAAAGAACCAGTATGTGAGCCAGTAAGAGGAAGGGAGACACTGGAGCTGCCAGTGAGCAAGCTGAGAGGAGGGGTGGGCATGGAGGTGGTCTCACGGTGAGCAGGAGAGGGGACGGAGGTGGTGGTGCGAAAGGACGTGCCCGTGGAGTGGGAGGCGGAGGAGACAGAAGGCGTGTGGGCCGGCTGCGTGGTGAAGCGCGTGTGCGGCCTGGCTGGCGTGGCGGTGGCAGTGTGAGTGGCGGGGGTGGCCGTTCCTGTCGAGGTGGGCTTTGGGGAGAGGGTGGTGTGGGGGGTGGGCACGGTTCCGGAGCTGACGGGTGCGGAGAGGTGCGTGATGGGGGAACTGGAGGTCCTGGCCGTGCTGA